ATCGGTTGCCTACCTACTAGGCGGACCCTCATTCATTATAGGTTTCTTCAATATTTGTTACGTCTTCTGTTACATTAATGCACTTCGCTCAGCTACCCCGTGCATAATGTTAACGCACGGGGCCCTACGTAATAATAATAATTATAATTGGCGACTTTTAAGAAATATGCACCAGCCCAGGTACACGACGTTTGGAGCCGAAGCCGAATCGTATTTGTCGTGGGAGTGTCATCGGCGTGCTCGGGAGGTCCTCAATGACATCCCCGGGGGCCCGGACGACATCGGCACTACCAGATATGGACTCAGCGTGCGAGAAAACCCCCGTACACGATATTTTACTCGTCCTGCGTCCTGGTCGTTCCGCGGTTGACGGTCGGTCGGCCAAACCGTATCTTATTTTGACAGCCCCAAGCAGGCGGGTCGAGGCCCTATTTGAGCGGAGCGGTGTAGGTTGTTTTAAAAATGTAATATCCCCTTCGACCATTTATACTTTTTGAGCAGAGAAGCTAAACTTCGGTAGGCAGTTTCCGAACTAGGGATCATCCAGAAAGTACGTCCACCATGCCGTTACGAAATTGTCCAGTTCTGCCATTGCAAGCTCTCATAGCGCCTAGTACGTAGGCAACATCTTGCCTGCAGAGCACGCGTGCACTGCTGGGTGGCCCGCCCCAAGTTTCGCAGGCGCCGGGCTCCTGTAATTTGCCGTACGAACCTGAGAAAAGCGGATGTACTTTCTGGACGATCCCCTATTCATCACAATGTTTATGAATTGCGCAAATCGCTTGCCACGCCTACCCACGCCTAACGAGCTGTGTAAACCAGAGTGGAGAAAGCGTAGGAAAATTGATCCAAACTGCTTGTTAATAGTTTTAGCTGGTATAGGAACATTGGGGACAAGAACATTGTACAGTCAACGTTTTTTATTTCCTTTTGTCAATAAATAAAATATGGACAAACATTGGTTCAAAGTCTGTTTAAGATTAAAATCGTTTTGTCCGTTCACAGAGTCAGAAAGTTAAAGCAATTTACTCCAACCTGCAGAAATTGTTATCAATTATATATGTTCACTCTCATTAGTTAAAACTAGTTTGCTTAAGCCTGTAACCCTGTAAGACTAGTTAACAGCTGTAATTTCAAAACTTTTCTTCCTCATATTGTTTGGTAAGGTAATGTTACCAACAGTTAAACCCGGTAAATCTTTGATTCAACGGCTGTTCGGACGTATCTTAATCGGCACTAAGCAAAGGATTTCTTGCCAAAGTTGCATTTATAACCGAAATTTTCTCACTTAAACATGATTTGCACCTTTTTGTGTCCAAAGGAAGAAAAAGGTCGGAAAGGATTGCACAGAAAAATAAAATGATTGGTTTGGAACCTAATGTATTTGAATTTTGAGCAACTTCTTTGATTAACAGTATAGTATTGATTTCTTATTAAACAACCATCAAGTTTTTTGAATGAACTATGCCTCTATTTTGAAGAAGTTGGGAGATCAAACACACTTACCAAAACATGTCAGTTGGCAAATATTTAGTTACAACTGTATGTCCATTGAGCGATTTTACTAAATGATAACATCCTAAACATATCTTTAGAACTTTAGTGATAACATTTATAAATCATTTAATTGTACATTACCATTAGTGAAACACACAATCCATAAGTATAAAAATAAATTTAGACTAATTTCTTAAATACAAACATTTACAGAGTACTTGCACATAGTCTTTCTCTTGCATTTAAGAGCATGGTATATTCAACTCACTTTTTCAGACTCTTTGTCAAGTAACCTGGAAATAAGTCAGAGAACTGATATCAGTACAACATTTGTCATATTAATCGTAACCAAGAGGACATCATCGATTTAGTCTGGGTGAAGCCAGTGAATCTGAAGCTACCCCATCATTTCTTTTGAATAATAAAGTATACTGGTAAAGCTGAAATGCAGAAGAATGCGGGGAAGAAGAAAACAGAAATCGCTATGCTTTAACAGTGTGACTTCCGTTTTCTTGTTCCCTGCATTTTTCTGAATTTCAGCTTTACCAGAATGGTTTATTTCATTGGCTGGAAACAGCTTGAAGCTGGCTTCAATTCTCATTTGGCCAATCAGTTTTCAGTTTACTCAAAACAAATGGCTTCAGCTTCACAGGCATCACCAAAACTAAATCGATCATAAATAGATCAATAGACAACGCAAGCGTGTCTGCATTTTATAAACTGAATTCTAAGAAACCCATCACAAAATAATATCAACACAGACCAAATGCTGTCCCATTTGATAAAAATGAACAACAACAACAATATTAAAAACAGGATTGGTGATCATTCTTCCAAGAAATGAAGCAAACTAGAAGGAAAAATTACAAGGCCACATGAGCACATCACAGTTGATTTACGTTGTACCACAGTACATAACTATCATTCCCAGAGAGAACACGATTTTAAAGTGATATCAAATCAAAGGATTTTTTAAGTATCATTTCTGACTGGGAAGTCAATTCAATAAATAAAAACAGATATTAATAGTTTCATCAACCTTTAACTACATTATCTTTTAGTATTTGGTATGTCATCACTTCACATAACGAATAATAATGTGAACTACAAAAGGTTCTGTAAAACAAGAGTTCTAATTCACTTGACTGCAAAGTATAGCATCTACAAAAACTGCCATTTCGTTTCTTATATTTAGTTCTAAATTTATAAACTTAATTTACAA